GGTCTACCAAGGACCCGGCCCTCCGAGACCGGGGAGTCTGGGTCCTCCGGAGGACCCGTCCTGTCGTTTTGGACACAGCCTGAGTGACAGCTGTCTTAGTGGACAGCAATAAGCTGTTAGTGTTACCTTCTGCTAATTTTTTTTTACTTGTTTAGATGTTTAGCGTTAGCTTCGGAAGGCAGAGTGTGATTCTGTCCAAACCAGAAGATAGGGACTGAAACCATGTACATTCTTCATGGTGTTTTTTTTGCCATAAAAAAAAGCTTGTTAGTTTTTCGTGCTAGCACCTACAGTATTTTTACAGTCTTTATTTTACAGTTAAAACATGTTTATTAAATAAAGTCTAATGTTACAACTAATCGGGGATCCCTTAAAGTGTGCAGGTGGAGGAATTAAAAAGCAGAACATACCGTTCAGGAGGACGATGCAGAGACCATCCAGGTGGACTTTTAAGGACTGGAGTCCTGTGAGGACACAGGGACAGGTGGAGAGGCGTCTGACAGGATGCTCTCAACAGGAACAGAAGCAGGCAGAGAGGAATGAGGAGACCCTCCAGCCGGAACCACCTGAACAACTGGAGCTGGTGGAGGTGAGCTCAGCCTGAACCCTCTCAGCAACAAGAACCCTGGTGTCTGAGGACAGAGACAGGGGATTTGTTTGGTACATTCATAGGTTGTTGTTGTTTTTTTTAACAGACTTTTTTGCAAGCAGTTAAAAATCTGTAAAAACAAAATCATTTTAAAAAAACTAAATAAAAAGATAAATTCAAAGTTTCTTTCAAAGATACTTACCTTTGGACTTACCCAGCAGTTGCCAGCCGACAAAAAAACCTAAACAAAGAACAAAACAACAGATAAATATCAATAAGGGTTGTCAGTATGTAGAAGTGTCAAGACATTTCTTTAAAACAACAAAAAGATAACTTTGCTTTTCTATTTAGCACTTTCAAGTTAGCACTCCACACTGCTTCTAAAAAAAAGAAAAGAAAAACAGAAACAAAATATTATTTTCCATTAACCTTGTAAATGTATGGAATTAAAGTAAAAATTTTTAAATGGCATTTATCTTGGGGTGGGGTGGGGGGTTTCCCCAGTTGATAATCTGCAATAAAAAGACAAAGTAAATATTAGGGTTTTTTTTTTAAAACACAGCATTGTTCCAAAATTTCTATTGAAATACCTTTG